TTTATAATGTGAATTATTTTTAAATGACTTTGAAACAATACATCCTTCATTGAATAATATTTTGGAAATTCGACAAAGTAAAATCGTGTTATCATTGTTAGTTACATTTTTAGATATTTCTGCTTTTTTAAGATTTAAGGTATATATATATATATATATATAAAATGAAGTTAACCAATTCAAATGTATAATTCAATGAATTTTGTCAGCTACAGTTATGTAATTAATACTACCACACCATGCTTTTTTTTGTTTGATGTGTCTTTTTCCATTCATATACCCAAAACTTTTGTTTGCCTTTGTGGGTAATTCCCCTTCTCCACTTTCATCCCTCGACGACTGTTGATCTGCTTTTTGCCACTAATTTTCCCTTTTCTAGAATCTCCAATACGTGGAATCATATGTAGTTTTTTGTGTCGAGCATCTTTCACTTAAGATAAAGCTTTTGTGCTAACTCTTTGCATACACTAGTCATTTCTTTTCTACTATTTAATATTTCATTATGTTTTTACATTGATTTGTTCAGTTGATAGATATTTGACTTATTTTCAGTTAGTTGGCTGTTTCAAATAAAGTTGCTATGAACACATGCATACACGTCTTTGTGTGGTTATGTTCTCACTTGGGTAAATTCTTAAAATGTATTGCTTTATCAGTGTAAGTGTGTATAAGAAACTGCCAAACTTCACAGAAGTGCTGTATCATCTTTGCATTCTTAACCTTTGAGGGGTCCGTGTTTCATATCTGCCAGGACTTGCTATTTTTAGTTGTTTTTTGGTAGTTTTGTTAAACTATATGTTTGATGTTTTATCTACATTGCTGAAACAAATTTTTGCTTATGTCATCTTCTAGGGATCTTATAATTTTGCATTTTATATTTAAGTTCAAGTTCCCAAATAAATAGGTATTTTAAATTTTTATTTGTTGACCTCTAATTGCATTGAAATCAGAGTACTTTACTCTGAATAACTTGTCCTTTAAATGGTCTTGAAATGTTATGGTGCAGGAAATAGTCAAATCTGTTTTACATACTTGAATGAAAAAGCTGAAATTGTTGAAGTTCCTACATATGCCTAGTCTTAGTATAATATAAACTATTGCCATTAAAATCTACACTTTACTGATTCTTTTGTACTTTTATAAAATAGAGATATGTTTAAGTATTTTCCACAATGATTTTGGATTTCAGCTAATTTTTGCTCCATGTATTTCAAGGCCATTATTGAGAAAAAATATATATGTAGAATTATTATATCTTGATTTAAACTTCACTAATCATGCAGTCTGTTTATCCCTAGCATACCTTTCATCTTAAAGACTATTTCATCTAGTATTGACAAAGTTACGTTATGAAAGTTGCAATAAGTCTGCCTTCATCTCCCCTCAAGACTGAAGGATTCACTCCATCATGTGCCAAGACCACCAAACTGGCTTTATCCAGCAGCCTCTGCAGTTGTCCTCGGATGGAGGGATCCACTTCACCTACGAGCCTTCTCCCTGCGATCAAGTGCATCCCGGGACTGGTTAGGGCAGGGTTGTACAGGCATAACCCACAGCCCGTGCTCCACTCTCCCGAAGGACCCCCGATTAAGTCCCTGCACTGCATGATTCCTTGTCATTCCCTACAGTTCCCTGCGAGGTTTTGTTTTGTTCCTGTCTTCCATTTCCCCAGTATCTAACTCTGGCTAATCTAATTTCAAACTTAGTTCCATTCTGGATGTTGTTCTTGTTACTTTTTTTGTAGTTGCTAGTTCTGCACTAAATTTGAAGTGTGGCTTTCTCTCTAATATTACAATTGTAATTAGTTTTACACGTCAGCATCTGATGGTTTTATTGAGTCCCTGTGCTGCTCCTGAATCACGATGGCATGTCAGAGTGTTTGCTGACCAGTTGTTCATAATTTGCTTTTAGAAATAATTGAGAATTGAAATGAGGCGAGTTTCTTCCAGAGGTTTTGTTTCCTTCTGCCAAGATTTAACCATGCTAGAATCCCAAAAAGCAAAGCTTTAAGTCTTTCATCCAAGGCCAGCATGTACTCTCACTCCAGAGTAAGCCCTTTGAGGCTCAGTCTACAACAAAGATTACTGCGGCAGACATAAAACTATGACCTACATTATTTAGCACTGCAATTCCACCAAGTGCCCTGCCCTCTTGGGCTGCTTCTCAAAGCCCAGAGGAAATGGAGCAAGTGTGGATGGGAGATAGGGCAGAGAGCGATGTAGCCAGATCCTTTGAAGGATTGGCATTATCCATCTCTCCTCTTCCCTTGCTAACGAGTAAAAATTCAGCCAAGATGCCTCGTGTATCCAAAGAATAGTGTGTCTGACCCGTGTTTGCTCTCACATGGCTGTCTTAGCTGCACGGGAAGTGAGAAAACCACATGCCCAGTCTTAAGATGTTACAGAGGGTGTTGTAGGCGCGATGCTAAGACGGCCCCATCTCCATCCTTGGTGTCACATCTTGGATTATTTTAAGTTGTATGGTCAAAGAATTTTGCAGATATACTTACGATCCCCAAGCAGTTAATTTTGGATTAATCATTACAAAATTTACCCCATGTGTCTAACACAATTATATGGTTATTTAAAAGCAATTTTCTCCCTCAAAGAGCATAAAGAGGGAGACAGAGATCTCAGGTATGAGGAGACTTAAATATGCTTTCAGGAATGGCCACTGTGGGCAGGCCCTAGCTGACAGCCAGCGAGGACACAGGGATCTCAATTCTACAATTACAAGGAGGTGAATTATGACAGTAGCAGTAATAAATTGTTTTTTTTTTGGTACTGGGGATTGAACTCGGGTCCTTGTGCTTGCAAGGCAGGCCACTGAACCGCTGAGCTAAACCCCTGGCCCTGCAGTAATAAATTTGAAGAAAGACATCAAGCTTTGCTGAGAAACTAGACAACACATTGATTACAGCCTCGTGAGACTCTAAGATAGCCCATACTACCCTGGGCTGGTCTAGAGAACTATGGGATACTAAATGAGGGTTGTCTTGAGGCAATGAAGTTTCTAGCAATTTGTTGTATGACCACAGAAAACTAATACAGGATTCATTCTTTGCCTCCCACCAAGATTCACGAGGTGACAAAACTTTACAACTGGGTGGCAAAGTGAATATTAAGATATGCTCCAGGGGACAACAATAGTAAAGGGTCTGAGCACTAAGCTGTTTATCGTACTGTTTTTAACTAACTATAGAAGAAACAGCATGGCCAATATTTTGAAATGTTCCAGTTAGATTTATTTCACATGAAGACAAAACAGAAGGAGAGAAATGCCATCTTCTAGGGCAGCCAAGGCCAGCATATATGCAGAGAAAAGATCAGTCCCCTGACTCAGATGTGGTAGTGCATGCCTGTATTCCCAGCACTCTGGGAGGCTGAGGCAGGAGGATCATAAATTTAAGACCAGACCGGACAACTTAGAAAGAGCCTGCCACAAAAACAACAGGTGCTGAGGATACAGCTCCATACAAAGGCCCCAAGTTCAATTCCCAGTATTGAAAAAAAAAAGAACCTGAAATGTTAACTATAGGTATCTTTTAAGAACAATTCTGATTTTGCAAAACATCCAGAAAACCTTAATCTTAACATTATGAGTAATTAATTCACACCACTACAAAAAGAGAAATATATACAATTCTTTATAAACTCACCAAATTTTTAAAGTGTATAAGCAACTCAATTTATTGGAACAAAGATGGCATTTTTGTTTTCCATGAATGAAATCACTGTAAATTCAGAGACAGTGTTCAAAGTGAACTAGCTTTGAAAAGTACTGTCATGTTAAAAACAATTGTAAGTTGAAGCAAAATATTGTGAATAGTGTTAACTACTATACAGCAATATTTTATCTAATAACTATTACTCTGCTTGCTAATTGAGGCTTTGATTTATAAAATGCACATACTTCCAAAACTGTTAAATACTTGCTCTTATAAATTAATTTACAGGATTCACACTTTTTTACCTTCAACTAATTATTAGCAAAAATAATACAAGATGATTGCCTTGCAAGCAACTAACTTATCTTCCTTCGTAAACAAAACATTGTATTAAATTACAATTTCTTAGCCACTTCTCTAGAAAATTCGTGACATTATTAAAGAAGAGACAGACTTCCTGTTTTACATACAAGTAGAGGTCTCCTGCTGTAGCCCATTGCTATTGCTTCATTCACATCCTTTCTCAGGCCTCAAAAGACTCAGGGCCTGGGATGTCTTTAGCAAGTGAATGTATGTACAGGTAGAAGACAGCAGTACAAGAGTGAGAAGTCTACTGCCGAGGTAGACGGATGCAGGACGTGCGATCCAAGCACTCTTATCTGAGCACAGGGCTCTGGAACCTTACAGTTTGGGCAACTGGTTGACAGGTATTGGTTGGGACAATCAGAGTTCTCCAATACTGTATGTGTTGCCAGATTTTATTCCACTGTTGAGTACAGAGAAGGAACATACAGTAAAAATCATTTATCCTCTCCCAGTCTTCCAAATCCCCACTCTTTATGAGACCTACAATTGAAACAACCGTTGTCGCAACCTGCACTAGTGGAAGAAATGAAGTTCTGTAGTTAAGAGTCTCCCAATCTGGCAAGCAAGCACTTGAAGTATGATACAACAGATCCGCATTAAGGTAAAAATATTTCAAGTAGGTATTATGTTGGCTTCTTGATAATGTCTAAGGTTTCATTTTCCCTTTCTTTGAAATGGTTAAAGTGTGTTCCACCTAATTTCCTATTTGAAAAAGAGCAAGGAACAGTAATAATCCTGCATTATTAAAGGCAAGGCATGGCTAAAGAGGAAGGGGGGAAGGGAGGGGGGAAGGAAATAAGGGAAAAGAAAACAATGTGAAAAAAGGAAAAAATGGAAACAAAGTCTGTGTAAATAGGGAAGGGGGGAGGGGGTGAAGGGAGGGCAGGGATATGGGGAAAAAAATAAGAACCAAGACTATCATGTAAAGGTACAAGGTCGCAATGATGAATGGAATTGTACTGTTTGCTTTAAATGGACCAATAAACTTAATGGCAGGGGAGGCAAAGCAGCTCATGTCAGTATTTTCTCAGCTTCTCAGCTCACTTGGGAATACTAAAAAAAAAAAAACAGTCAGGACCCTATCCTATGTTCAGCATTTTCTTCATATGTGAAGAGATTCTACGTTAAATTCTATGTTAAAGTAGCTTAGATGTATTAGGCTACATTTATCAAAAACCAATATTGAATGAGATGGATTTAAAAAAAAAATCCTTAAAGGAAAGACTCCTTATTTTCCATTTAATGAGGAAAATGGGAGCAAAAATTCAAGTGTCGATGTCTCTTTCCTGGGAAGAGATTTAGGAAAACATGACTGCTCACTTCTGAACTCTCATCATTTCCTTCTGAAATTAACATAGCATTAGAATCAGATGTTAAAACAAAAGAAAAATTATTTACAAAACTAGGCATTCCTTAAAGACAAAATTTTGCTAACACTTGGAAAACCACACAGATGTTTAAGGGGGAACTGTAATGTTCTTAGTAAAATGAGGACTGAGAAAACCAATACAGCAATATATATATTTTATGTCAAAATGCAGCGAAAGTAGGAGGTGCTGAGACTGCCTGATCCCTGAAGTGAGCAGCTTGGTGGACCCAAGGAGGTTCACCAAGAGATCACGGAAGAACTGAGTTTTGTGAACTAGTTAGCTGTTCTTCGGAGAGCAGTACATCTTGGCAAGCTTAAAGGCAAATGTTTTTTATTTCTTTTAATTAAATAAGCGCGGATGAAGTTAACAGTACAACCAGCCCACTACTCTGTCGTGCAAATCTCGCAGTAACAAAATGCTGTCTCGGAGGTTACACATTGGTCTCCAGTCCCAGCAGACGGCCCATTCTCTCCACGTTCTTGTCGATTGTAGCTTGACATGTTATCTCCTTGGCACACTCCATAGGGAACCAGCCCTTTTCTCCATCTCGAAGTCGTTGCCCCTCGTACCAGCCTGCAAAGAAGAACAGAGTCTGTCTCAAAAAGAAGTTCATCTGGAGGGATGTTTCCGCACCAGGCTCCAAGGAGGAGGGGAGTTCAGCTCGAGGCAGCATCTCTATGCAGGCTGGGTGACAGATGGTGGATGACACAAGGGAGGGGAGAAAGCTCAGAAGTAAGGAGGCTGAGAGCGTGTGTGAATTTGTGTCGAACTGGGGAAGGAGGTTGTTTTGGTAAGGGCAGCAGGGGAAAAAAAAAACAACTCCTTTCGAAAGTGAGAAAGAACTTTTGGAGTTGAGGATGAGATCAATGGAGAAACGAGAAGGAAAGAACACTTCTCTTGGTTCCTTTCAAAAAATACCATGTGACTGAATCACCACTCAAAAGGAAAAGTGTAGGTAAATGAAGAAATGTGTGAAAAACAGGAAACTGAAGGAACGTACAAAAAGAAAAAAGGCAGTGAGGGTAAAAGTTTTCAAATTTACCACATTCCTTAAAACACCTCTGTAAATCATCTGTAGGGCTCTGAAAAGCCTCTGCTTTGGGAAATAAAATCTTGGGAAAGAGGAAAAGAAATAAGAATGCAGAAGAAGTAAACCTAGTCTTAGCGTTGAGAGAACAGGACGTGCGAGATCAAACCGTCAGGATACGGAATATGAGCATCAATGACAAAAGAAGACTTCTTGGGACTATGGTTCTCGCCAGCCACAAGTCCCTGGAAAGAACACATCTACTCACCATCTCCAACACGCTGATAAATGAGCACCACATCTGCCACCTGCAGGGACAGCTCATCTGGTTGCTTGGCTGTGAATGACCTAACGATTTCCACCTGGGTCAGTGCTGTGGAGGCAACGAGACACGCTGAGCTTCCAGTGGAAGGAAAAAGGAACGGAGGAGGAAGAGAAGAGGTACAAAGCAGCAGTGTGCATTGTCTCAGCTTCTGTGCAGTTTGGAGCTGGCACTGACAGATTAAAGTAGCTTTCTGTGAGGAAGATCTTTTTTTAGGAATTCTCTCGTTTGGCTACAAGCTTTAGAATTTTAGAAGCTCAGATTCAAAAGGTCTTTCACGGAGCATGAATACCCTGAATGACAGATTAGATCAACAGTCGTTAGTCGTCCCGCACTGCTGCGGAAGGCAGCTATTCTGCGCTGGGGAAACTGAGGCAAGAAAGAGTAGATGATATGTCGGGCTGTGCAAGTGATAAATCAGTAATATCCAGCTCTCATCCCGAGTGTGCCTCTCTCCTCACCAGCCGCAGTGCATGCCTGCCGGAGTTCAGTAATAACATGTGTGCCCACTGAAAGCTTGCAAGGCATTTTAGACTCCCCTCCAAAATGCTGAGATGTTACATAAAGCAACTTCAGTGACTTCATACTAACACGACTTCTTTATTTTTTAATATAAAATTTTATTTCATGCCAATATCTTTGGCTTTGACTTCAAGAGCTATGATTTTTTTTTGGGGGGGGGTGATATGTCGGGCTGTGCAAGTGATAAATCAGTAATATCCAGCTCTCATCCCGAGTGTGCCTCTCTCCTCACCAGCCGCAGTGCATGCCTGCCGGAGTTCAGTAATAACATGTGTGCCCACTGAAAGCTTGCAAGGCATTTTAGACTCCCCTCCAAAATGCTGAGATGTTACATAAAGCAACTTCAGTGACTTCATACTAACACGACTTCTTTATTTTTTAATATAAAATTTTATTTCATGCCAATATCTTTGGCTTTGACTTCAAGAGCTATGATTTTTTTTTTGGGGGGGGGGTCTGGGGATCGAACTCAAGACCTTGTATTTGCAAAGCAGCTGGCGGCACCACTGATCTAAATCCCCAGCCCAAGGGCTATGATTTTTGAGTGCTCCAAGATAACTAGTTTTGCTGCTCCAACCCTTTGGGTTGATTTTCCAACTAGACTCACTAGGAGTACAATATTAAAGTTAAGGAGACGATAAACACACACAGACACCAACATTTACTGCCACACTCCCTAGTTCTCTGGCAGAAAAAAGAAAACCACTTAAAGGTCAAAGGAATAAGTAAGTAATTTTCTTTAAATTGAAAATTTTCAGACTATAGATGGAAAGAAGGTTTAAATTTGCAGCAACAGCTGCCGCCCACTGATAATAGCTAAAAATTTAAGAACTCTATAGTGAAAGCAAGGCTTTTATTAATGTAATTTATTTTAATCCTCACCATAATCCTACGTTATATATAATGATGTACCTGACTTTCAGATGATTAAACAGCATCAAGAAGGGTAAGCAACAATTTGCCCTGTTTACATAGCAAAGAAGAACTGCACGTTGGACTTGAATTCAGACCCCTGACTTCCAAAGCAGGGATCAGCAGTTCTGCAGTAAGGCTTCCAAGGAAGGAGACCTTGGAAATTTAGGAAGCAAGGACTGTGGTGGTGTCTTCCATCACTACTCCATGTCCAGCAGGGGGCAGAGCCCCTCTACGTCCAGGGAACTTACAGGTTCGGTCTGGAGGCTGCTTCCCACTGCTGTGTCCCAGGGCAGTTATCCAGCGGGCTCGCTCACTCCTAAACACAGAGGTCAGAGTCAGTTCAAAGAGTCAAGGTGTTTAGATATGGAACAGATTATGTCCTGGACACCCAGTGCAAACTTGTTTCCAAAAAAACCGGGGAGAGATCCCAGATCAAGTACAGAACTGTACTCAAAACAAGCATAAGAATAATTTGAAAACAATAGCCTGAGAATAGGCAGAAAATAGGCAGAGAACTATTCATCATGTCAAAAGATTCAAAATAAATTTGGCTAGTTATTGGGTGATGAGATTTCTCATATGACAGTTTTGACATTTAATAAAGTGCTGATGATACTAACATTACAATCACAACAGCTACAGAGCACACTCATAATCTGATGTTTATTCTGTCTCTGTCTCAGGCTGGCCTTGAACTCACTTTGTAGCCCAGTCTGCCCTTGGAGTGATCCCTCTGCCTCAGCCTCCCAACTGCTGGGATTACACACGTGCGCCACCACACTTGGCTTCATGTGTTTAACTTAAAAAAAAAATTTTTTTCATTTTATTTTTATTATCGGGGATCGAACTTTGGACCTTGCACTTGAGAGGCAAACAGCAGAACCACTGACCTAAACCCCTGGCCCAGTAAATTTCATTCCAAAAAAAATCTGGTCGAGCAATCATTCTTCACTCTTTCTCCTCCCCATATACTCAGACCACTTTGCAAAAGGTGATGAATTATATATGTTTACAGTTGCCTCACCTGTTATACAACTAATTTTGAAATTGGTATTCTTTGACTATATTTAAACTGTTCTCAAATGCTTTTTTGTGTGTCTGGTGCAGAGGGTCACATCCAGGGCCTTGCTCATGCTAGGCAAAAACTCTACCACTAAGCTGCATCCCTAACCCTTACATACTTTAAAATGGTATAATAGGTACAGTTCCTATACAAAATATAAGGAGAAAAACCTCCAAGACTTTGTAATAAAACAGTAAGCTCTAATTACAGTGAAAAAAAAATTGATTAAAGGATCCAAAGTTTCGAATAAGCAAGCGCTGCTTCATAATATAATAATCTCATTTCATATTTTGAAGAACCAATACAGTATTAGAATTATAATTAATTTGCACACTCAAGCACATTCACACACTAAAATCACTTCAGAAACATCCATTAAACCCACACTTGTCAGACATCCATTATTTCCCGAAATCCCCCCAAAAGCTGTTTGGAGAGATAATGGGAAGACCAGACAGAAGTCTGAGGTAAGTGACTTCAATCCAGGCCAATTTCCACCTCACTACCCTTCCCTTTGAAGAAGGGACACATTTATGCCCAGTATTTGAAACTTTTCCTTCTTCTAATAGCTGGCATAAATTTAAGTAATCTGTAGGAAAATGGATGTACCCTGAAATCAAACCCACAAGTTTAATTATGGCGTGGTTTCCCTTATATGAGAAACTCAAAGTATAAATAAAGAGCAAAACAAAAGACAGACAACAGGAAATGGATATAGATGATAAGAGATGGACAGAGAGACTGAGGGGAAGGGAAATAAAAATTAAGATGTGTCACATACAGGTAGCAACTCCACACAATAGATGTACTGCAAATCATTATGCATTGCAAACAAGTACTAATAAAGATGAAAACTTAAAACAATTTCCCACACTGCCACATTCAAAAAAATGAAGTTCCTTGTTCCTGTCACTCCATCATGGCTCACTTGCTCTTAATACCAGTTTCCCAGTTATGCCCACTCATTACTGCCATTTAAAGACTTTTTGTTGTTGTTGAGACAATATAACAAAATAAAGTGCGCTTACAAGTGTATGTAGTTCTGTCCCTCCTGACTGACATATACCCAAATGTACATGCTGCCAGTCAAAAACCAACTACTACCAAAGGGTAACTGCTGTTCAGAGTCCCATCACCACAGACGAAGCTAGCCTGCACTGTACCTCAGAAAATGGAATGCTATAGCACACATGCTTTCATATTTGGCTTCTTTTACTCAGTATATCCACTGAGTATTGAAAACACAAGCCTCACTTCCTCCAGGTGGCTACCAGTGATACGTACACCTACACTTTCGTCCTCATCCCAGTCATACAGTCCTGGCCCCAAGGAACCCCTCTGTGTATCTCTCTCACAGCTGGTCAGTGGTAAGCGTTATGAATCCAGGCACCTCATCTGTTTGATTCACTTCGTTAACTCCTGAGCACTAACAATGAACACAGGTCTTAGTAAACATCTGCTAACAAATGAGTGGTAGCACTTATCACACGCTGAACGCTGTCTGTGCTTTCAATTGCCTGCTTCTCCTACCGGGTCACAAACTGTAGCAGGGCAGGAATTAGGCTCTGTTCTAAAGTATAGTATGGAGCCCCTATGTGCTGGGTATGGTATTTAGTAGTTTACAAGCATCATCTCATCTGATCTTTACAACAAACTTGGGAAGAAAATATTGCTATTTGTTCTCCTTTTTTTAAAAGCAGATTTGGAGAAGTAAACACCTATTCCCAGGCAGTGTGGGAACAAGGAGGTAGTGTATCCTAGTAGGTGCCTATAAAATAAAGAGGAAAGGCAACAAGGGTAGAACTGGTATGCCGAAACAAACCTACTTAAAAAATAAGACAAGGCTGGGCCTTGTTAAGCTGGTGTGTCAAGCAGTGATAGGCACAGTTTAATACAGAAACCGATGACACTGTCTTGCTTTTAAAAACTGTCTCCCCCCAGTACCAGGCCAAGTGCTTTGCAGTGATTTTATAACACACGAGTAAAGTACAACTCCCTTTAAAACAATCCCCCTGGCAAAAACTTTAGTCTCTGGTGCCTTTTTGTTGGGATAAGATCTATGTTATACTCAGGCTCATCTGGAATTTCCAAAATACAAAGACAATTGAAGATGAAATAACACTTCACGGACAGAGGAGTTGCTCACAAAGAGGAATCGACATAATCCATTTGTTGCTATGTGCTGACCTGGAGGCAGTTAGGCTCATCCTAGGATTACCAGTGCATCTTTATACAGCCTTCCCAGAGCCCTCTGGAGCAATGTGGAGCCAGATCGTGCACACATGACTTTACAAGCAAAGCCTGACTCTGGTGGGAGTGGCTAGTTTCACCCTGCTGCAATTTGTAGCAATCCAGATGAGATCTCTCATTCTCGTGGCATGCTGCCTGGATGCTAATGGCATCCCTCAGACACAGCAGCCCCTTGCAAGGACTCCAGAGGACAGAACAAGACGCTCCTTGTTGCCCTTGCTGAAAGGAGCCGCTTCTTGAAACTGCTTCAGTTGAGCCAGTCCAACCCCTTCTTAGAAACCAGGGAACCTCACGACTTCCCCTGGGGCTTGTACGAGCCCTGCCAAGTAGCTCCCTCCCACCATGAAGCAGAAAGCATTCTAAAGCAGGGAGACTCACTCACAACAAGACAGAATTCAAATAACAAGAAAAACCAGGGCAGGGGCGCCCCCATTGTTGAATTTAGATACCAAGTCCACCATTCACTGACATCTATCTTGTCCAGGGACATTTTGAGACAATAAAGATGAATTTGGAACCTACCTTACACTCCGCTATGACTTTTCCCTTTTCCCAAAGTGGCAAGATAAGAAATGCTGCACTAATATAAATCACTGTGTGCCACACACCAACTTCCAAGGCTCAACTCGTTCCTTTTTTCAATCAGCATTGAAAAATAGTCTGGAGTTGGAAAGGGAATAAAATGGGGTTCCCTGCTCTTCAGGGAGCAAGGCAGAGAACAAAACACACACAAACCCCAATATAGCCTACAGCATTCTGAGACAGTGTGTTCTGCATGGACTCAGGCGGAGAAGAAAGACTTGGCTGAGAAGTTCTTCACTGTCTGTGGCTGCGGTCCCTCTCCAGTTCTCCGTGCGAAGCAGGAGTGCGGTGCACTAGTACATCAGCCTGCCTCTCCTCTAACGGGGTGGACGAGCACGGCAGGTGTACATTTCATTGCACAGAGTTCAAAGACACAGACAGTCAACTTCTCACTGGATACCAGGCCTCTGCCGGAAAAGACAAACTCGTACTGAGAAAGCGGGGAGCGGGTTTGAGGAAACAGCCAGGACTGATGGTCAGATTTCGCCACTGGCAGGTTGCTCCCGATGTCTCAAAGGAAGAAACCTTAGCTGCTCTTTAGCCTTCATCCAACGGCATTCGTTCAGCTACTGGTACTCCTGTCACTGCCTATAAGTTTCTGTGGTTCTATTAGAAGCTTCCATACCCACAGCCTGTGATAAAAGATAAAATCCATCTGTAGCCAAAAAAGTAGATTGTGAAGATGACTGTTTCTGTCCATTCCTTCATACATTCATTGTAACTAGAGTGGTTTCATAAACTGATCTAAGAAAGAAAATCCACAGGGTTAAAAAAAAGAAGTCACTGGGAATGCCGTAAAGCGAAGCCTCCTAAAGCTGGATGGCAGCTCAAATTACCTAATTTAAAACACCAAACTCAAATATAATATTATTCTTGGTCCCCTGAAAAAGGGTTCTAAAATTTAGAATTTGTGACATGCAAATTATTGCTTGTTTATAGCATCAAATAGCTCTTGAAACCTAAAGCATAGACTGGGATCTTTAGAGTAATCTGAATTGGATCAAATATCTGTGGATAGCTGATTAAAAGACCTCACAGATAAAAGAGATGTATCATTCCCTTCTATTTGACTGAAGTCAATGGTGAGGGTCATACAAATCAAACATTGCTTGGACTTAGATTCTAGATTCAACAAGGGGGAAAAAAAGCTGTCACTTGAAATAAATACATTTTTTCCATATAATTAATTTTCTCTGTGTTGCAATTTTTCTTAAAGAATGGAGTATATGATTGTGACTGAGATAGGATTTCAAATTTTATTCCAACCCATTTACTTCCTGTTGTTAATTAATCATTAACAGAAGCAGGAAGAGCACATAGGCTCCCTGCAGACAATGCCCCTTTATCAGAAGGCCTAGGAACTGCACGTCTGGAGGGCGGACAGCACCAATCACATCAGGCTCCCAGCCGGCTAAGAAAGA